TGCTTGGGGCAATCGATAATAAGACTTTCTAAACAGTTCGGGAATACCCGCGAGACCAAGTTTACAGAGAACATAAGTAACCTAAAGTAGACATCTCTATAAGATCTCATTGCATCTGGTCAGTGCTATGGTCCGGTGTACTGCGATAAACTGGACCAACGGAATGACGTTTCTATGTCTCTACACATCATATAGCTTTTTAAATAGAGATCACTATGGTCAACAAATGTCTTCCTTTGCAGAGTTTCTCAAACTGATGATCAACAATTGTCTTCCTTTGCAGTGTTTCTCAAACTGGCGGTCTTTAAGCCTTAAAGAAAGGGTCACTAGTAAATGTTCACAAGAAAACTCTAAAAAGAAATTCAAGTCTGTCTTTAGCAAATAAGTATTTCCTTTGTAATTTTTCGTGTGACTACAGAGGCGAAATTAAAATCTATAGAAAACTAATTTTAGCTCTGATTTAATTAATCCAGATTAACCACAAAAGTATAATTTTATTTATTTTTTTTCGCGATATTTTTTCAAACACAATGTGTAGACTTATTGAATATTTTCAAAAAAAGAACTTCATATCACGTCTACTTATTAGATCTAAGTAGATTCGTAGTCTATGTGCTAGTTTATTGATTGACATTTTTTACGAGGTGGCTAAAACACTTTTTTGTTAGTTGTGATCGGACGTTAAGCGCTGGACGTAGATCTAATGACTTTCGGGAAACGACATAATGGCGGTCAGTAGGTGACGCAACGCAGCGTGCGAGAAGCAGTGTCATGGCAATCAATGACCATGTCTGACCGCGTCCAAAGCTAATGACCCGAAGTCAATCACGATTGTCCGAGCATTTTTTTTTTGGTTCCGTACCGGCCAGGAGCAGCTAAAGATTAATGTGTGTTGTCTGACCACACTCGTAGACCGATGGAGTGGATAACGCCCAAAAAATTACTGAGGGTGGAGTATTCAACGAATTTTTTTTTTTTTTAAAAGCCAGCGACGCAGCAACCATGGGCGAAGGGCCAAAGAGTCAGTCTAGAACGCAGGACAGTAAATACACATCTGTCCCCTCGCTTCGTTAGCCCTAATGAGTCTTAAGGATCGATGAAGTCCTGTCAGCCTTCTGATAAATGTCCCGCCCTGTGTTTAGGACACGTGCTGACCACTGGTCAAGCAACACAGCGGACAAGCTAAGAGAACCCCAGAGAACAGGCGATTTTCTTGGGCTCTTCGGAGTTCGTCTTAACTAAGCAAGTGTTGGATATGGCAGGATAAACATAGGCTCTAAGTAGTAGTGAAAAGGAAGGATTTTATTTAGAGAGTGTGTTTGTGTCTAAGGTGGGGGAGTCTTCCCTTGATTGCTCACTCTTCTTACCTCTTTTTACCAATGAGAAAGATTGATAGAAAGTCTCGAGGCAATGTGATTAACTCCAGGGCGGAGACTGATGGGGGTTAGTAAGGGTGGACAGAGAGGCGATATTGGTAGATTGTGACCAAACTGCAAAAGTTAAGAACCAAATCAATAAAAAAAAATTTTGGGATTAATTTTTTTAAAGAGTGATAAAGTCTTGGTTTTATAATTGTTCTCCTTGGTGGAAGGGGGAGATATTGTCGATAACCTTGATGTGGAAGAAAGAGCAGATTGATCTGATTTGTATGAGGTTTGTCACTTGTAACTCTGTTACTCTTCGGATTTATTGTTACATATTGAACAATCTAATTCTAAACCCTTAAACTGAATTTTTCTTACCTTGAAAGAGAAACGACTTTGAGACGCATCATTTCATAATAACTCAGGCCGTATTCTACTTTCTTGTGTGCCATGAAGATTTATGTGCAGGGGTTTTAGCAATTAATTGAATTACATTTAAATAAGATTTTACAATTTAGGAAGTATCTTATTTAGCCAGGTGGTGAGGGTTAAACTTTATGTGTTGTATTACAAGTTACACTTGGTAGTTTATAAAATTTGTACTTTATAATAATAATAATAATAATTGTATTTATTGAGAGCTGTTAACAAACAAAAATGTAGGTTCAAGGCGCTGTGATAACATTACAAACATAAACACGACAGCTACAATAACATAAGATAAGATCAGATAACTTTACTGATCCAATCAAATGGAAATTCAGTTTGACTACAATGGACAACCTCACCTCAATGAGAAAGTAATCTAAAAAACTAAAAAAAGTTTTAAGCAGGTAGATCTTAATGTTCTTCCTGAATGTAGTGTTGCATGTTGTCTGTCTGATGACAATGGGGAGTGAGTTTCAAAACTTTGGTCCGAGCACGGAAAAAGCCCGCAAACTTGTTTTCACTTTGCATTTTACCCTTATTACTTTATCTATTCTTTAAACTTTGTCTTTATCCTCAAAATATTATACTTTAGATTATATACCATACACTATAATCTTTATATATTATACTTAGGAGCTTATATTTTTTTATACTCTACATTTTACATTTACACTACTTGATGTCTAAGTCTAGTTACGCTAGTTTATTTAAACTAAAACGATGTATCTACAAAGAGTACTAGGACACAGCTACTAGTGGTATAAGAAGTTTATCACATCGGCCATCTGACATACAGATCTCCGACAGGCTGAACGAGGCGACATACAGGGAAGGGGTGTTGGGGAGGGGGGTGGACGCTGGGTGATGATAGGAGAACCAGGGTGACAGTATTCCGAGGATGACCAGAGATAGTTCATTAATTTTTCAGATTCGTCGTCTAATGTAACTGGGGAGATGTTCAGACTTTCGGACACTCGGTGGACATTTCATCAAGCCCCACAAATGTCCTGGAGTTGTTTCTTATTTGGCAGGTGGAAAGGGTAGAAGAAAGAATGCTCTTAGTCACAACATGATCAAGTAAATAGTGAAAAGATAGTGAGAAAATGGTGCGAGTTCCGTTGTTCGTGTTAGTACATATCTATCTATCTATCTATCTATCTATCTATCTATTTATCTATCTATCTATCTATCTATACATCTATCTATCTATCTATCTATCTATCTATCTATATATATATCTATCTATCTTTCTCCCTTACGACTCTCTCTCTCTCACACACACACTCACACACACACTTTTAGATGCACATTTCATCTAATCTAAATAAAAAAGGTACACCTTTCAAACCTTGTGAAAATGTAAATGTCATCTTTTTTAATGACCGATCTTTAAAGAGGATGTTTTTGTCACCATTTACTTTTCCTAAACCATTTGGGGTACTCATCAGAATAGGGTGGACTCATGGGTCATCTAAAGACGACCTCTCTTTTGTATTATCGATGTTATAGATATAGAATGAGGTCTGAAAGTAAAATCTATGAATGGAAGTTTGCAGAAATAAGTTTGTTAACAGACGTAGGCGTTTTGTATTCCTAATATGAACTTATATAAATGTTCATATTAACCACATATTATTATCCCATTCTAAACAACTGATCAAATTTTGAATGAGACGCAAGATGATCTTGATTAAGCATAAAAGAAATTTAAACAAATTGATTTATCGTTTATTCCTTCTATATTACATAATTATTTCCCCTTATTTGTTCTTTTTTTTTTTCTCTCCCCTTCTATTAAGTTTCTTTTTTAACCTTATCTGGGAAAACTTCCCGCCAGCGGCCATCTTTTGTTCTCATCCGGGGGACACCGTTGCAAGGGCAGTTTCATCTTCCGATGTTGTTGTTTTTTTTTTTCTTTAACAGTAGTCATGCTTCTTTCTGAGACCATGATAATGACATGTCAGGCCTACAAGACGAGGGCCGGTCGAGGTTATAATGGATGACCGTAGAGGGGAGAGAGAGGGTCCTTTGATGGAATGATGAGACGCCGTGATCCCGAGGGCGGAGAATTTCACAAACATAAATAATACTGGTATCTATGAATTTGAACTAAAAGAAATGTATCTTTAGGGCTTGGGAATTTTGTGGATCCAGTTGAAGCTCTAACGATTCTGCTCTAGCATGGACCGATTGAAGTTGTTGATGAGGTTCGGCATTGGGCTGTATCTCAAGCTAGCTTATCTAACTTTAACCTATAAGAGTATTACTTAACACTAAAAATGTCAAGACAGCTAATCTAAATTTCACCTATAAATGTATTACTTAACACTAAAAAAGCTCAAGACAGCTAATCTAACTTTCACCTTTAAGAGTATTACTTAACACTAAAGATAAAATTGAATAAGGCTCGAAAACATTCGTTTGATGCGAATTTAGCCTGAATGTATATACCAGATGTATACATCTTTTAATTTCAGTGTAAAAATATATTGAAACACAATATAATTATGTATGTCCATTATGATTGCCCATTATGTATGTCCACGGCTAAACGTCTTTTCACAACAACTGCTTTCAACATTTTTTTTAATCACACGTTGTTCTGTTTTATATCTCCTCCACTGCTTCTTTAGTTTGCCCTCTTATCCAGTCATGTTCAACGCTCCTCCTAAAAGTTTCATCAGACTCACACACACATGTTAAACCCCAACCAAAGTACGAGGTTGCAAATGATTACGACTACAAAGTGCATTACAGTCATAAGACCACGAAAAGAGACAACCAGCACATTAGCTATGCCGAGACCATTCTTTATGGAAGACTTCAACACTGACCTGCAATGTCACAACCTATGGGCATTTAGAACAATACAGGTCACAGGGGTGTACGACGTGGTAACAAGCTATTGGTCTAAACAGCCCACAAGTTGTCACGTTGCAGGTCAGAGTTCAGGCCTTCTATAATGATTTTTCACGTCTAGACGCAATAAACAAGAATACAAGTAATACCACTACATTTATCTTCTTGAGTTGAGAGAATCTTTCATGATTTTTCAAGACTCTGTTAAAACTGTCAAAACTAAACTTCAGATAGCCATATTTTGTTGAACGCCTTTGCGGAAAGTATAGTGGAACTGCTTTTTTTTAAATTGATGAATTTAGAATGCCATCAACTAAATCCTTACAGTTTTAAATACAAGGTATATGCCGACGAGGATAGGATTCAAAGCCACGCTTAGAGACTAAAATTTATTAGCAGACTATCGTCTTTACCATTTGGCCACCTCGTCTGATGTTTAATGTTCGCACAAAGCGCCGTTGTCGACAGTTTAGAGGAACTGCTTATTGTTAAATGAACCTCATTCACCAATCGTAAACAAACAACATTTAGCCACGTGACAATATTGATAAAACAATGAAAAAACCTATCACGTGACAGCCTTTATGGATTGCGTAAATTGTATAGAAGAGATAGAGAACCACGTGGCTAAATCAAGTTCATGTTTCTGAATTTTTAAAATAATACTTATGCCGACGAGGATGGGATTCGAACCCACGCGGGGAGACCCCAATGGAGTAGCAGTCCATCGCCTTAACCACTCGGCCACCTCGTCTGATGAGAGGATCAAGTTTGACGTCTCCCCGCGTGGGTTCGAATCCCATCCTCGTCGGCATAAGTATTATTTTAAAAATTCAGAAACATGAACTTGATAAAAGAAATACGTAATTTGAATGACTTAAAACTAAGAAAAGCAAAATTAAAGTGGCTGCTTCCGAAATGCGCAACCAATGCAGTTACCTTCAACTTGATAGTCATGACACCCCGTGACCCCTATCTTTGGAAGCCAAGCGCTTTTCACCGCGTCTTTACGACTAGGAACGAATAGGTATTTGTCAAAGCTCGGTTCGCTAGTTAGCCCGTATATTGTTAAATACATCTATTCCAACAGAGATTAGAAAATTGGTGTATGTAATAATATGGTGTATGTAGCAATATGGTATATGTTGCTATATGTTATACATAATCTTTTATTGCCCTCATCGGGGCTGCCTTGTGACGGTTTTATTGTAGAAAGGACTCCGCCGTTGTAGGACAACTAGCACTCATGGGGGATAACCGTTAGACAAAAGGAGCATCGTTACAAAGGTGTCATCCACGGAAACTGTAAACATCAACCCAGGTTGAAGCTTTTCCTCACTGACATGTAAAAAAAAAAATACTTAGCGGCAAATGACTTCCGAAAGAAAGAGCTCAAGAAGTCTTACAAGGCCGAAGAAGACACATCTGAGACCGAAAGAAAAGATGTCGCAGAGGACATGTGAAAACAGTGAAAATATCATTTAAACAGACATGCAAAAAAAAAAGCTCCAACTGACTAATGGTTTGTCTGTGTTGAATGTGGCTAAATATGTAAGGCACTGCTGGGTCTGCTTTTTTTTCCAAGGAAGTTGACACCAGAAAGAGCCATTTTTTTGAGTTAACTTCCCATCAAACATCAATGTGGCTCAAAAGGGTTCAAGCCCCCAAACATCTGCTCGACAGACAAGAACACTCTCAGCAATCGCAAGATGAATCTACAATACAGAAGGATAAATTCACCTTACAACTTGTTTATCTTCACTTTTAACTATCCCTTGAACTGTTGGGACACCACACAAGGTCTGTTGACCCTCTTTCTCCATTCCTCTCTATCTTTTGCCTTTGGAACAGGCCTGTCCATTCTTTCATGTGGTCTTCCCATCTCTTTCTCTGTCTGCCTCATCTTCTTTTTCCAGGTAATGTTCCCTGAAGGTATGTCTTTGCAATTCCTGACGACCTTGTTATATGGCCATAGAGTTTAATTTGTGTTTTTTTGACAGCGGCTAGCAGGTCATCGTGGTTTTCTACTGCTGTGTTCATCCTGATTCTAATCTTTTCAATTATGATACCGTCTGTGCAAGTGATACCTAAGATTTTTCTGTAGCATCTTAGTTCCATTGCAAGGACCCTTCTCTCGAGGACTATAACTGGTTATAAAGGTATTATTATAATCCATACCACCCAGTTATGCCAAGTTGTAGTAAAGACGCGCTAAGTTTAAGACTAATAATAATAATAAGGCTTGTCTTCGAGTCCGAAGATTAGTGAGGATGAAGTATTTCCGGTGGCTGCGCAGCCCCGACTGTGACCTTCATATTTTGCTACATCCAGGGCAAGCAAGTTTAAGACTAATAGTTATAAATTATTCACCAACACCAAGAAATGACTCCTCTTACAAAGAAGACATGAAATGACATCTTTTTAAATAAATTATTGCCCCTATCATTAGATCGAGATCTTGTAAAAACACTTAGAGAAAAAAAAATCGTTGACCTTGCATGTCAATTTGTAATGTCAGCATGACCGGTAATGAAAATGAAATAAAAACAGAAGATTGAAAAGATAAACGATGGGGGTTGGGTGGGGGAGCTAAGCAGAATTGGGGGCGGTGGGAGGAAGAGAGGTAGTTCCTTCTAAAGCTCGTTACATCATGTTATAAGCCAGAGCGGGTTTGAATTGACTTCCTTTCTGTTGCCCGGATGTCAGGAGATAAAACGCAATTATTCCATCCACAGGGAGCAAATGATGTCTTAGAAACTTAACCAGTGGCACGAAATGGCAAGAAAATTGGCTTTCTTTTTGGTTCCATTGGCTAGGGACAGTCGACGAACTAGATTCTGTTGATTTGTTCACTTTTAAAAGGAGATAATAAAGCTACACTACCATATATTTTGAGTATAATTCACAAAGTGGTAAAGTCTTTGAACCACGTGGTCTCGGGTTCGAATCTTGGTAAAGACTGGGATTTCGAATCTCTTGATTTTAAGGGCGTTAGTGAGTCCACCCAGCTCTAACGGATACCTGATATTTGTTGTGGAAAAATAAAGACAGTTGTGATGGCCACATTTCAGCCTCGTTAACTAAAGGCCTTAGAAACAGACGACCTTTACACCATCTGCCTAATAGATAGGTAGGTCTGAATGAAGTACGTCACAATTCCCTATAGAAATAGATTTGTTACATGAATGTGAAATCAAGAAAGATAGCGGCCCAATAGAGGGTCTCGATGAATAGAGGCGTTAGTACAATTGGAGTAACATAACAACAATAACAACAACAACAAAAACATAACAATAACAATAGCAATTTCTGTAACGACAACAATAACATCAACTATCGCGACAACAACAATGACAACCAAAAGCAATACTAATAATAACAGCAAGAAAGAAAACAGTCACAATACTAGAACAATTACACCACTTATAGACAACAATATTAACATTGACATCTATAACGACATCAATTGCTAAAATATAGATAAATATAAACATAAAACCACAGCAGCATAAATAACAACTACAACAATAATAATAGCAAGAAAATATTTTGTAACATGCGGAAAAAAAGTGATGTTTGTTGGCAGTTTTTTTCCTTTTATATTTTCACCCAAGTTCTAAAAACAACTATTTTTGATGCGGTTAAAAGTTAATAAGTAGAAATCTATCATCAACCCAAAAATTTTGGTATGTTATAGTAGGTGGCTTGATATTACTTCTATGTATAGTGTACACAGTTAGGATACAAAACCATGCCTTTCTGAAGCAATAAAGTAAAAATGGCTTTTCATTAAATTCATATCAACTCACTGTCTGGTACAATATATGTACACGCTATTTCTCCCACACTCATTCTCGGATCAATTTGAAACTTTACAAATTATTTGCTATACATAAGAAAACATGAATCAATTAAAATATCAATAAATTAATTGATCAATTAATCAATCCATTATTAATAACTATTGTTTTTTGTTTTTGTATCGAAAAAGGGAAATGCTACTTATTGATAGATTCGGCTGTATATGTGAATTTATTTCCCTAATTACGTTTCGTATACTTTTTTACTCCCAATTCTCGAATCAAGTTGAAATGGCGTATTATTATTCATAGTCGAATATACGAATCAATAAAAAAAAATAACCATTGTCTGAAAATTTAAAAAAAGAAAAATTATCCTAAAATGTGCCTCTGAACGTTGGAGATGTATTGAACACAGGTCATCAAGTCGAAAGAAATATTAGCAAGATACGAAGAAAACAACAAATGAACTACAACTCACTCTCGTATCTGCTTTCAGAGATCGATTGTTCATGACGGTCTTTTGTTTTAATTTGGAACATCCAACGCCGTTCAGCAAAAGTTTGGCTTCTATCATCCAGCCAGAATAAAACACACACACACGCGCGCGCACACACACATAAAAGAACAAAAGAAAACAAGTAATAATATCATAAGAGAAAGGGGGGGGGGGGCGGGAGGGGGCGTTCCACATTAAAAAGGTAATGACAATATTTAGTTTTGATTATCTTAATATATTGAGAACATATAAGAAATACATCAGAGATTTGGATAAATCGTCTTGCAGCATGAGACCTTGGGGTTTGGGGGGGGGGGGGGGGAACATAGAATACACACGCTTTTGAAATGGATTTAAAATCCTGAGATCCGGTTTTGTCAACACATAGCCAGCCATTGTTTATTGAATTAGAATTGATGTAGAGTTGTTTTTTTCTTTTTCACACACACACAAACACAAACAAGCATTTAAATTACAAAAATAATGCCATTTGTTATTCTGAAATGAATGAGTCGTTGGTCATTTGTGGTGTGTCTGTGTAGGTAAGTGTGTGTATCTGTTAGACAGAATGTAGACTGGACAGCTCTCTTGACAAGAAACTGGCTCAACAGGTTTAAGCTGGATACGACATTGAAAAGAGAAAGAGAGTGTAGTAATACATTACATTTTGTTACAACTGAGGAATGAACTAAAAGTGTTCTAACAATTATGCACTTTGACAGAAACATAGATCACTATGTTAATGAGAATTACAATAGGCAAAACCCTTTTTCTTTTTCTTTGAAAATTTTAAGCGTTTAAATATTTAACACTAACCCTAACCCTAAACATAACCCCACAGGCTTTAAGATAAAACCGTATACAGATAGCCTTAGCCTTTAAGATATGACAGTATTCAGATAGTCCTAGCTTATAAGATATTGCAGTGTACAGATGTCCCTAGCCTATAAGATATAACAGTATACAATTAACCCTAGCCTACAAAATATGACAGTATACAGATAGCCTCATGAGTGTGTTAAATTTCCTTGTAATTAGAGAATAAAGATCCTTAACCAGGTATACATTATGTTAAAGAATCATGTTTAAATTAAATGACTACAGATTATCTTCTTACTAAACGTCCAGGGC